GGGGCATTAGCACACGAGTAAGGAGATCGTGTTGAGTAGTTTGGTCGATTTCTGCGTGGTCTGTTTACTCGCATGGGGGAGAATTCCCTGTGTTTGTCTGACCTTCTCTTGGACTCTCCATCTCTGTTCTGTGCCTACTGGGCTTTCTAAGCCTCATCTAGCCTAGCAAAGCTACTGGCTTGGGACATCAATTCTGCAAAAGAATAAGGCCTGTCAATATTTAGTGAATCCAAAAGCTTATTATACTTATAGTTTTTGGCCATTGCACTGACGACCACTTCAGTGTTAAGATCTTTTATTTGCATGGCGAGCTTTTAGAATTTTGTGATGTAATCTCATAGAGATTCGTAATCCGCCCTCTTTAAGTCGATCCGATCTGACGATATCTTTTTACTCGATATGCCAATGATAAACCGAGCTTTTACTGATGCCGCCAGTTGAGCGAAGCTGCCTATAGATCCAGTCTTGAGTATTTGGAACCATTCTTGTGCTGGTCCCTTCAATGTTATAGGGAATGCTCAGCATAACAATGCATCCACCGTCGTTTGGATGTGCATCACAGTGCAGAAGCCTGTCAGATGATTTTGGGGATTGATGGTCCCGCCATACGTCTCGAAAGTAGGCATCTTAAACTTATGTGGGTAGTGCACTAACAGGAAAGGATATGGTTTTTTTTTTTTTTTTTTTTTTTTTTTTTGGAAAAGGGATATGGTTTTTTTTTTTTTTTTTTTTTTATTTTTGCGAATGAAAATATTAGACGGGCTTTTGTTCCATTTTTAACTTACTAAAATTCGGTTTCGTTTTTTTAGACCCATTCTATTTGATCCTCAAGAAGGGCACCGAAAATATAAGACGGGCTTGGTTCATTTTAACTTACTAAATCGGGTTTCGTTTTTAGACCCATTTATTGATCCTCAGAAAGGCAACCTTTTTTTAAAAGATGGTTTTGTAAAACAGCTGTTACTTTGGTAAGAGATTTTATTTGGAGTCGCCACCCTCTTTAGGGAAAACATCACAAATGACTTATTTCTTTGGAAATAATTAACTTGATTTTAATCAGAGACTGGTTAATGGAGTTAGGTACGGTTTGGGAAAGTGTTAGGCACTCGGATCGCCCGGTTAGAAACCGGCCTCCTTCATTGTCCATTCATTCACAATTATGACAATAGTACTAACTTTAATTGATGTGTAAAATATTTTTGTGCAATTTTTAAAACCATAGCAAGCAAGTATATTAATTATTCAAACATACCATGTCAAACAAATAAAGAAGAGGGGGGAAGGAGAAAAGAATACAACTCATCTCCTAATTATACAATATACACTTACTCTCCATATAATTTTTTAAAAGACAATAATTATTATAAATAAGCAATTTGACGGGACCCATTAAGGTCCTTTATACAATGCCAAGTAATAAAAGCAACAAAAGCCAAAAGTAACAAACACAAGTAAATACATAATCGTCCACAGAATATTAATCCCAACAATATTCAATTATGACAAACAAAATGATGAAAATGAGATTGTTACAATGATTTAATCTAACGTTAAGTGGGTTAGCACAATAATAATTAAAAAGCATTAATATAAAATGCATAAAATGTAAAAAACAAAAATTTAAAGTGCATAAAAGTAAATACAGTAGATTAAAAAGTATGAATTGAAGATTAAAACAAGATTTAGGTTCAAGACTTTGACGTTCATCATGGATGATGAATAAATATGCCTATCACCACCTATTTTTTGTTTTTTATTTATTATTTGGGCCATAATGAGTCATTTACGTGATACAAAGTAAGATTGCTCATTGCTTGACTCGAAAGGGACCCTAAATCAGACAGTTTTATTCACTTTCATTTTCTGAGTTTTTGAAATGAAGATCAGTGCACCACTTCTAGTGGCGTGAGCCACACGTAGTGGCATGCAGACCTTTCCTCGATAAGAAATCTCAGGATAAGATTATAAAGCTATCTGAATTGAGCCAAATTAGCGTGCGCCACTTCTAATACTGTCAGAAGCTTTTGGTTGATCCTAGATTTCTCCCACAACCAATGCAAAGGAGGTATTTTTAATACACCAAAAGCGAAAAAAAAAATGAAGAAAAGGTTAGGACTCTCAGGGGTTACCTCATTTTGAAGAAATCCAAAGATTTTGGAGAAAATGAATCAAAAAAAAAAACCTAAAAGCTTTGATCTTGGATGAACAATTTGTGTTTATGTTAAGTGAGTGTGTTTATGGGTCTTTGATCACAAAGTTCAGTTAGCGTTTTTCCCTATATATTTTATTTACATTTATGGTTGTTAATAAAGTTATTATTAGATTTAACTAGGATATAAAAAATGAATCTGTCATGTTTTTCCTCACCTTTTTTTCTTCTTCTTCATATGTGATGTGTAGATTGAACTAAGATTTTGCATAACTGAAGACAGTCAAATTATAAATTAGAGCTACATAATTGATGTTAGTGTAGTGTTTGTAAATAATATTACTTCCTTAAAGATATATGCTTGGCTAAAGTATTCATTATCACATAGTTGATTTCTCTATTAATAACATATAAATTTTCTTCATTCTTAAATAAGTTTTGCTGCAAAGTTTTTATTATTGGAAATCAAATGGTTGTTCTTATAATATATTGTTACTTAAGATTTAAAGTTAACATACATTTTAAATTACAAAAAAAATTATAAATTATAAACTACAAATTATATAGACTGATAGTTATATTAAATATAATTTATAAATAATTATAAACTACAATGTATAATATGCAGCAATAGGGTAAACCGCGCAATGCACTGGCCTTTGTCTAGTTTTTTCTTGCTTGAGAAAATTTTACTTTTGAAATCTTTGAAATTTAATTATTTCCTTTTAATATTTTTACTTGCAATTTAATTATTTCCTTTTAATTAGTTGTTGTTGACCTTTCTATCTTCGTTAAACCTTTCAAATTTAATGATCATTATGACATCTTCCTTAAAGTTTTAAATTTAATTTTTCAAATTCAATAATCATTATCATAATTCTTAATCTTCCTCCCTTTCTTCCTTAACATTTAAAATTTTAATTTTCTAAATTTAATGATCATCATTACAACTTTGCCAAATCATTCATCTTTCTATTTTAATCTCGTCAAATTTCTCCTCCTTTACATTTGAATAAATTGAAATTAAAGAAATTAAAAAATTTCATTTCAATTAGGAGATTTGAGTTGATTTGCATTCCTCTTTTACTCGTCCATTACAATAGACTATGTCCCACAAGAGAATGGTAAAATTTTTTCATCTCTCAGACAATAAATTTTCAATATTTGGTCTCATACAGTTTAGACATTTTTCTTAAATGTTCAACTTTAATTTTTCAAATTATATATTATAATCTTTAATCCTTCCATACCTTCCTTAAATGTTTAATTTTAATTATATAATTTTCTAAATTTAATGATCATCATTACAATTTTGCTAAATCCTTCATCTTTCTATTTTAATCTCGCCAAATTTCTCCTCCTTTATATTTGAATAAATTGAAATTAAAAATTTGATTTTCATTCGCGGATGAGTTGCTTGCATTCCTCTTCTACATCTTCACTTTACAATAGACTATAGTCCAAAGAGATGGTAAAATTTTCATCTCTTGGCTTATGAATTTTCAATAGTCTCATACAGTTTAGAAACACATTCCTTAAACATTTCAAATTTAATTTTCTAAATTCAATAATCATTATTATAATTCTAAATCTTCGTACCTTCCTTTCTTAAACATTTAGAAATTTAATTTTCTAAGTTTAATGATCATCATTACAATTTTGCCAAATCCTTCATCTTTCTATTTTAATTTGGCCAGATTTCTACTCCATTACATTTGAATAAATTGAAATTAAAAATTTCCTTTTATTAGGGTATGAGTTTACATTCCTCTTTTACATCTTCACTTTACAATAAACTATAGAAACTCATAAGAGAATTTATTCCAAAGAGATTGTAAAATTTTCATCTCTCAGCCAATGAATTTTCAATATTAGTCTCATACAATTTAGAAACAAGAAGATACAGATGGTGAGTAGTCTTCCCTTTTTCTCTTCTAGTATGTTTGATTATATTTTTTTTTTTGTTTTGTTTTTGAGTAAATTATTTGAGAACGATTTTTATTTCGCTTCTCATACTAAGTTGAATAGTTCCACGACAATAATATTTGGGATCTTCAAATTCACTTTATGGTTTATATGCCTGCAGTTGCATAATTCAAATTAAACTTAATTTATCATGAGAAAGATTGTCTATGTGTCTTTTTCTGATTTTGATTTAAAATGTCAAAATTTGGATTGATGTGATATTAATGGTTTTAGAAAAACATTATGGCCTTTTTTTTTTTTTTTTTTTTTTTTTTTTTTTTTTTGCTTTTTTTTGTGTTGTTTGCTTTTTTTTTTTTTTTTTAATCTCATTATCATTTTGTATTTTGCTAATTTTACTTTTGTTTTGTTTATTTTTGCATAAATTGAAGTGTTAAGTTCTAATTTAAGTTTTTATTTATTTTTATTAGAAATTGAAGTGTGTGCAATTCAAGATGATCTAAATATGTTTTATGCAGTAATGAATTAGCTATTATGTTTTATTATTATTTTTAATTACATACTCTCAATCATGTTAAATCTCTAAAAGAATAGAAAATAAGTATTTAGATCATATTAAGTAATTTACAAGTCCACTTTATTTTAAATAATAATTTCAGTTGTTTCTTTTAAAAAATTAATTTTTTATAATTTACTCAACACACTGTTTTACACTTGACATGAAAAATATAAGTATTATATAATTGCGCAAAGCATGGGCTACCGCCTAGTTTAAATAAATAAAATATTAACAACAAATTAATTTAATTATCCACAAACAAAAAATCATTACAATTGTTAATATTTGACCATCAAAACTTATTAAAGAAGCTTTGTTTTAGTTAATGGAGATTCTAGAACTCACTAAACAAATGGAAAAGCATTTCAACCAGACTTAAACTGCTCAAAATTATAAGAAACCGAGTATAAAATGATGTAAACCAGAGCATAATCTTTTAGAAGCAAATTTAAACGAACCCGTCTGATTTGGATCAAATCAGATGTTTATACCAATCAAATGAGAGAGAAAAGCTAACAAAAAAAGCTTCCTTCTCCTCTCCCTATTGCCAACAGTCCCCTCCCCCTTTCTTTCTCTTTTTCGATCAAACGACCATAGTTTTCGGCAATCTAGCAATCTAAACCCATCTACTTGACGAAAGGAGTTTTATCCTAGCCTTGGTTCGCACGATTAGAACTGTAATCATGAAGAATCAGTTCTGGTAATTTGTGATACTAATGCATCGTTGCTTTTCGACGAATTCATGTCGTTTTCGGTGGCCCTTCATGTCTAGAATTGTTGTAATCGACTTTGCATCACCTCACGAGCATTTTCCCTTCATAAATTTCGGCGACCAGCTCCGTCTTGTGAATCTGTAATGATCAACGATAAGGAGGGAGGTTGTCGATATGATTCCAGCTAAAGGGCTTCTCATCTCTGCAAATTCAAGCCGGAAATGGACTCTAGGAGAAAATCTGAGCAATCTAGTGGCGTTTTCCAGAAACCAATTTTCCGGCCACCGTGCGCGGCGACCGGCAGTGACAATCTGGTGACTAGACAATGAGACCCTGGCGAGGCTTCTTAGAGACTGAATTTTCGCTTTTCACGGTGATCAAGAATCTTTAATCCGATTTTTAATCGGTAAGCCTTAAGTCCCAACACTGTTTTCTTGTCAAAATTCAATTAGAGTTGGTTAATCCAAGTTAGTCAAGAATTAGAACTTAGTAAGTTAAATTAGAGTAAGATAAGCCATGTTGAAGAAATTCGAATTCAAAGTACTTAATGAATAATAAAGATTTTTATTGACTATATGGTTTACAAGCTTGTTAAGTAGAAAATAGAAATTCTTAAAATTTAAATTTATTAACTAGTTAATATAGGAATGATATATAAATTCTGAGTTTGAAAGTGTTGTGTAGGGATATTGGTTAATTAGTTATGAATTAAACTGCATTGGTAGTAAAGGCTATACTAAAGGGAGAAGGGCTTAGATCTAATTGTTTTGCCCGATGGATGAGCTGTGTGTAATGCGTTGATATTTGTGATGTATAAAATACGGATAATCCAATTTATAGGGGGAATACTAACTTATTTATAACATTAGTGGAAAATAACTACTACTACTACTACTATCTTTTCTAGATGCCCGCAAAGTTTTAGAATGACAAGACAAAAGCTATAAATGAGTTGTAATAAAAATACTCATATTAAGGATAATCTAGAACTGTGAGTAGTGTTAGCTAATCCACATCACCCACTTGCATTTTTCATTTATGCGTACATGGCTAAATGTTATACATGCATTATTTGGTTAATTGTTATTTGTGTTGTACTAATTATTATTAATGAACATTGTTTGATTAGTTGTGGCATGCTACATATATGCTTTGTTTGTGCCGAATTAGAATGAAGTGCATCACCACTGGATTTGTGAGGGCGATCTATGATACTGTGGACCATGTATGGAGAGATCGACATCCCCGTGTGCATCTGATAAAATCTAATATGGAAAATCACAGGGTGACCTCCTGTTGATATAGAAAAGAAAAGAGAATATAAGAAAGAGAAAGAGAGAGAGCTGGTCAAGTGAGATTGAGACCGGTCGGCCATGTAAGGGGATCGGTTTTTTTGTGCACACGTGATGAGAGGGTGGGCCATGTGTGAGGATGGCTCATTGAGGATTTCAGTGACACCACTGACCAATCTCCACTTGATGTGATTATGTGAATGTGTTAATGTTTGTTATTGTTGTTGCAATGCCATTTGTGTGGCGGACTGCATGATCATATAACTAGTCTAATAACTAGATTGACTTATATGCGCATTTTTGTGATTGTGTGGGATGAGACGGTTATCAAACCTTACATATTGAGTTTAGGTGCTCATCTTTGCCTTAATATTTTTTCAGGTTATAGGTCCTCTAATAACTCGTTGTCCTTTGCCTTCAGACACTTAAAATACCTCAATAAATATTTTGAAATTTAAGTTCTTAGATTATTCCGCAATTATGATATTCATGTATAATAAATTTAGAAATTTTTGATGTATTATTTATTAAAGTTCCTATCATGTAATATATTGATATGGGCCTAGAAAATTTTGAAAATTGATTTCTTATTGAATAGGATGATACGAGCTAAGCAAACCCAAAACTTATGATATTTGATATTGATGATATTGGGTCTGAGACCTGCATTTCTATTGAACATGAAGTTTGTTTGGTATATTTTTAGCTTATTACGGGCTTTGATGACGCTATTCGGTTCTAGTGACGGTCCGACCTGAGGTAACGAGTTGTGACATATATATAAGCTGAAACAAAAAGAAAGTTCTACGTGTTCTCTAATTTCATCTTTCTATTTTTTCCTTTTCCTAGAAATTTTTAGAATTTTATATTATTTTTCTATAATTTGATTGGATGTTGAATATATTTTTAAATTTTATTTATAATTCCTTTAATAAATATATATAAATTACCGGTCGTTGATCCGCGTTTTTGCACGTGATTACTTATATCATCTAAATGTAATTAGTTTAAAAATATTAATTAAATAAAATAAAATAATTTAAAAATTATAAACTCATAATAATCTATATATCTTAAAATAATTGTTTAAAAATATTAATTAAAATAAAAATAAAATAATATTAAAATTATAAACTCATAATACATCTATATATCATTAAATAATTGTAAATATAAATAAATTTTTGGTTAAAAATATATTCAAGATCCAATTAAAATGTTGAAAGATAAAATAAAATTTTAATTTTTTTAAAATAGAAAATAAAAAGAGAGAACCATGTAGAATTTTATTTTTGTTTATATTTTAGTTGAATGATTATTATATCAAATATTTTATAATTAAATGTATTTAAATCTCAAAAAATATAATTGATTGTTGAAAATTTTTAAAAAGAATATACAAATAAAAGAAGAATTCTTTAAAATTTTTTATTTAATATTTTTATATAAATTTTAAATATAAAAATCTATATTTTTATTTATATATTCATTTATGTATTATTATGACATCCCGATCCGGTAAAGCGATCCTAAGAGGGCGGGTAGATAAATTTTAAATATAAAAATTTATATTTATATTTATGTATTTATTTATGTATTGTCTCATTATTTTGATTAGTAATTAGAGGTGAGCATGGGTTGGTTTGGTGCGGTTTGAAAAAATTTTCAAACCAAACCATAAATTACAGTTTATAGATTTTTCAACTCAAACTAAACCATTTAATAAATGAAATCAAACTAAACCAAACCGCAAAAAGCGGTTTGGTGCTGCCTTGTTTGCTGTTTGATACCATAAAAATAATTTATTAATTATTTTAATTATAATTGAACAACATAATGAATTTATATATGATATATAATATATAATATATAACATAAGAAAAGAATATAACTAGCCAAAAAGTGATCAGTTGTTTGATAACATAAAGCACAGGAAAAAGGCTCATTTTGGCCCTTCAACTTGATTCTCAAAATCAATTGACCCATATTTTAATTTTTAAGCCAAATTTCTCCATTATTTAGCATATTACAGCCAAATAGTTCAGACATTCGGCTGGTACAAGAGCGTGATTCACACGCGGTGAAAGAATAATTTTTTAAAAAAAATTATTAAAGATGAAAACATTTTATTAATGCAACTATAATTAAAATGCTACCTTTATTTCTCAAAATCCCTAAATTATATTAAAAGAAATTATTAATCAACGAGAGAATGAGAATGAGAGATCAAGGAAGTTCAATTTCTGGAGGTCGATATTCAAACTCACCCAACTCGCAACAATGGAGGTTCTCATCTAGAGTATGATGATGAGGGAATGACTCGATACTGTAAATGTAGTTTGAAGTCTTGTTACACCCTTATCCGTAAGCAGGTATATGTATCACAATCTTAAAAGACTTTACAAAATAAACCAGCAAGGAGTACAGGGAACAATCCTTCATTTAGGAAGATCGATATCAAAGCATACAATGTAAAATAAATGGCGAAGAGTACTGTTCAGAGCCTACAAAGTTAAATAACAACCTCTACCAACATAGGGGTTAAAGAATTAGAGGTATAGCACTATCAGAAGCCTTGTTACACTAAAACTTGCAAGCGAGTACATGTATCACAAACTTAAAAGACTAAATGTCTGAGTTATCTGGCTGTAATATGCTAACTAATAGAGAAACTTGGCTTTAAAGTTAAAATATGGGTCATTTGATTTTGGGGACCAAGCTAAAGGGCCAAAAATGAACCTTTTTTCTAAAGTATAATAGATAAAATAAAATATGAATTTTTGTAATTTAAATTTACAAAAATAATAAGATTATATGTAATTAATATTCATGATCCACCAAAGTGTAACCGACCAATAAGAACTTATTTATAAATAAATAAATTTCTTTCAATACTATAGCATTAAGAACATAAGAAATAACATCAAAAAGAAATTGTCATGTTCATAAGGTATATTTTCAAAGTTTCAATAACAATTAAATTAATAACACAATGACATCATAGAATATTAATGCGGTTTGATTCGGTTTTAAATGGTTTAATAAAATGAAAACCAAACCAAATTGTTTTGAAAGCGGTTTATTAAATTATAAACTAAACCAAATCGTTTAAATCGATAAAGCTTTTATAATTGACGGTTTGGTGCGGTTTGGTTTGATTTTGCAGTTTAAATCATTTAATGCTCACCCTTGTTAGTAATTCTTATTAGTAATTCTTACCAATCACATGGTGTTTAAGATTTAATATCATTCACGTAATTAATATAAAATTAATAAATAAAAACGTTAATTAAACTATTAAACATTTTAATAATATTTTTTTGTTAACATGTTAATAAACAACCAAATTAAATTGATTTGTTTCCATGTATAAAAAAAAAATTAATTTGTTTCCACAATACTTTAAATTTCAATTTGATGTTTAAGAGAGTATTGATTATGATTTAATAAATAGAATGTATTAGAGTCATATTTAAACACTATAACTATATTAGAGTTTGATTTAGAGATAAATTCATAAAAAAATGCAAATAATTTTTATTCATCAATTGAACTATTAAACATTTTAATAATATTTTTTTGTTATCGGTTACTGTTTTGTAAAAAGAAAAAAAAAAATACATATAATCGTTATACCTGTAAACACATCAAACCAGAGTCTGCACATAACCATTAAAGAACAACTATAATAAAAAACTATAATAAAGTAATAATAAAAATATAAATATAAAAACTAAAAAAAAAAACTAACCTCTATTCATGAAAGGCTTTGTGGCAGAAATATAGAATAATATTGATAATAAAATCACATAGTGCTCAAGAAACACAAAAAAAATAAAATAGTTGGAAAACAAACTCACTTGTAGAGAAGTGCAACAGCAAACTCTCGAGTCTCCTCAGGTGTCTAATGGTATATATCCAAGTTCAATTATATATAGTTGGATTTTAGGTTCAAAATTTGAAAGATAACGTTTTAGTTGAATTAGATAAGATTTTATCAATACTATATATTAAATATTAAATTGAAAAAAATAATTATATTGGCCAATCAAAATACAAAAAATAAGGAAAATTTTCTAGAAAAAAAAATGGAATGCTGAATGAAAAGAGTGCCTTAAAATATTATCTTTGTTTCAGCTTTCACATATATATATATATATGTATCTTTGTTTCAGCTGTCACATATATATACTATATATAATATATATATAATATATATATATATATATATATATTATATTATTATGAGTTTGAAAATTTTGAATATATTATGAGTTTGAAAATTTTGAATTATTTGGTCTTATTTGATTAATTTTTAAGATAATTATATATAGATAACTAAAAGATTTTTATCTTTCTATTTTTCTTTTTTTTAGGAATTTTTAGAATTTTATATTAATTTTTCTATAATTTGATGGAGGTTGAATTTATTTTTAAAATTTATTTATACTCTCTTTAATAAATGTACATATGGATAACTGCTTTAAAAATTTTTTTATAGATAACTATTATAAATTTTGAGAAATACTTACCTAGAGCAGGTTCATGACCCCACTTATAAATCAAACCAATGAAATAGAGGATTTTTATTGAAAAGAGGGTATTTCTGACAATATACTTTGAAAAAAAAAATGATAAAGTCGGAACACTTTTTAAAAAATTCACAGTTTCATTGGTTTGTTCATAAACAGGGCCATAAGTCGGTCTAGATAAGTTTTTTCCATAAATTTTTTAAAATTTTCTTATCGATAATTACTACTTTTAAAATTTTTCTATATAAATAAAATTAAATGAATCTTATTGTAAAGGCTCAATTTTTTATAAAGGTTCAAGAGGAGATAGAAAGCAGATTTACAAGCTTTATACCAAATGCGCTGTTGTGGTAATCCATGATCATTTGCTTTTCATATATTTTCTTTTTTTTGCATAATACCAGCGTTATGCCTTTACCTTTAATTATATACTGACTTTTCTTTTTTACTTCTTATGAGCGCATTCATCTAGACTTACCTGTTCATCAAATTCGCTAGCCTCTTTGTATTATATGTCAATTTTTATATCTCTCTTTCAAATTTGCATTCGCAGGCCTCCTTTACATTCTCTAACGGAAAATATTATCGCCATCTTTTATTTATAGTGCCCATTCATCTATTGAGCACAAGCAAATACAAGATTAACTTTAAGAATTCTATTCAATAAATGTATTTGTACTTATAAAAGGGCCATAATGTAATATCCCTCTTCAATCCCGCAAGACTAAACATGAGATATCACATTTTGTGCCGGAGGCACGTACCTGCTTATTCGGTTATAAATATTTAATTATAATTCGAATTA